GAATTTTTTTAGAACCACATGATCATAACAGAGATTTGTGTTCTGAAAAGAAGTATAAGAAATAAAGATTTCTATACTCCAGAGTACATGGAAAGATTGTGAGGAGAGATATGATTCATTGAAGAGAAGCTTTGTCTGTTGAGGGGTAAAACAGTCGATGTGCGACACTCTAAACCGCCTGCACAGCCTATATTATATTATATCACACATCTCACAGTCAGTTGAAAGTTGTCAATCAACACACATTTCAATAAAAATGAATATGCGCCTTAGTAATGTGAAATGAAATATGAAACCTATGGAAGCTGATTAATAATTATATTCAATAATTAACTGAATAGAAAGATGATTAACTGCGAGTGCAGCATGAGTAACATACGATGGATTAATGGTGGATTAATCTCAAAGGCAGGTGTCAAAGTAAGAGGAAGCAACACAACCCAAGTGAAGGGTCACACTAGTTATCCTCCTAATTGCTCCCATGGCTCAGCTTGTCAGAACAACAGCAGCAAAGTGAAGGACGGAGTAAAAGGGAGCACAAAGGCCGGGAGCTTTCTTTCTTCGCTTCATCATTTTCGAGATGGAAACATCAGAGCCCGGCTCTCTCATTGGCTCATGTCTCCGTTCGTAATGGGGGCCGAATGAGCAGACGTTGACTGGCCATGAAACGCGCTCCTCTACGCTGCAGGGGCTCGTTTTTTGAGTCGCATCTGCCAAAGGTGCATCATATCTGAACAGGAGATTGCATTTCAATCCCACACATCACGGAAGTGAATAAAGAAAACAACAAGTCCCCAAAAATTAACAAACAAAACAGCATCAGCGGGACTGTTTTAGAGTCCGGTCGATGCTGGTTAGGGTTTGTTTAGGGTTGAGGAAGATCCCGGTTTGGATTCAAATAAGAATGTGTTGATCCGGACTGGAAATTCCGGAGCGATTCAGACGCTGACCTTGTTAAGCGGATCAGGAATGTGTCAGACCTGACCGATCCGTACATTCCTAATGGTTTCTGTATTTAGGTCAGGGTGGGCAACTTTTTATTGCCAAAGCACTCCTTGCCCCTGTGTCACATGACCTGAAAATATACCTTGTCAAAGGGCGGACAGGAAATAACAATGATGCCTCCTTTAAATCTGCTTAACAGCATCCTCTTCCCTTCTGCTCTCCACTGATGAGGCCTAAATTGAGCATTGCAAATAATTCATAACTCAACAATGCCAGTCAGTGTCTTTCAAGAGGATGTGCGCAAACCACGGCAATTTTATCACCAGCCAGTTTTGAACAATAAGATGTACGTGAATATCTGCCAATATAAGCTGGCACGGTTATAACAGGAACTTTGTGTGTTTGAAATGTTGCAAAGTGCTTCCCAGAGTTGTTAGCATTAGCATTAGCGTGCTGCCACTGATAATTGGCTTTTTATGACCCGATTACAAAGGAAAGAGGAAAGGGGTTAGAGGCACCAAATGGCAGACAAGAATATTCAGTTATTTTGCATGTGTTAAATGTCCACAATTACATATCAGTATAATAGATGTGCTAAAACGGTGTATTTTGTCTGTATTTTGCATCTTAGAGATAAAAGTAGAAATATAAAAAATATGAAATGTCTCAAAAACTATGGGATTGACTGCTATGAAATAGTCATAGTAACATATTTCATAGCAGTCAATTCGAATATGTCCCCCTCAAGAGGAGGGGTTTAGTGACTTTCTTGATCGCAGAACGACATGAGGTCAAACTTTAGCTGTTTGTGTGTGTGTGCATCAGCGTGGGGGTTTAACTGAGAACCGACGTTGGCTATTAAAAAGCTCTATTATGAGCATTCTTTTAGTCGTCCATGCAAAACAAGAAGGAACCATCCGTTGAAAAGGCGATTGCGCAGAGTTTTGAATCACAACAGTAATTAGATTGCAGCAAAGCTTTTATCAGAAGGCAAAGTGGAACTAATAAAGGGATAATTGTTTTTGGATGATGGCTGCCTCTCCCGTCCCGACCTGCACAGGCCTGCTAACTTCTGCTGGCACAGCGCGGCTTCGGCTTGGCAGTCGCAGCACCGTCATGTGGGCATTGTGTCTTTGTGTGCGTGCGTGCGGGTGTGTGTGTAGTGAGGTTTGTGTTGCAGTGTCAGTCCCGGGAGTGGGTGCGGCACGTGGGATTGAAGAGTGCGTATGTGGGACAAGAGCTGGCTAAGTGCACCATGTTTTCTGGATAGGAAGAGAGCCAGAAAACCACAGGGCAACACAAATTAAATCTCCCTTTCATCAACCTCTACACCTGCATCTGTGAAAGCCTGCATCGTTGCACCAGACTAATCCTTTCCTCTCCGCCGAGTCCTCACTTTCAAGGAGGCTCTTTGTGGCATTTTCTTTGTTTCGGAAATTCTGCAGTTGAGCACAGAGGCAAAGATGGACAAGAGTGACTGTACATATTTTGCAGCAGAGGTCATGAGCTGAATTTAAATCAAGATCACTGATGCCACAACGGCGCACCTTTCCACTCTCCTCAATTTCATCCTCCTTTTTGGATCCAAGCCAATATTGAGTTTTTTTACGTCTTTCAAATCCTGTTTGCAGCTGCAAATCAGTCAACAACCATTTTAGAACAGGGGAGGATCATATCTGGATTTTATGGATTGACCAAATCACAGTTTAACATATAATACATTATATAATGCTACATTTGGCAAGTCAGTACTAGAAGATCAAATGATTTAATTAACGAAGGGGGGAAAAACATGCCCTTCTTGGTGTGTTCATGGAACAAAACACCTACAGGGAATTCTTTGTATCTCCGGTCCTCTGGGAGTAATAAGAAAGAAGGAGAGGAAGCGGGAGGCTAAAAGGCAGAAGACGAGGGACGGAATGAGAGTGGGAGGCAGGAGGGAGAGTCCAAATGGGAGAATCTTTGGGAAATAGCTAGGGCTGAAGTGTATTTCGTTTTGAAAAAGCTGCTGAGTTTAAAAATAAAGTATTTAAAATCAATTTTTTTTTAAAGGGAAACGCAGAGAAGCAAGCAAAATATCCGCGGAGAGGTAAGAAAACAGCAGCAGGGAAGGAGAGCGAATGTGGAGGAAAGGAGGCAGAGTGGCGGTGAGGGAGGGCAGATTAGAGAGCATTTTACACTCTGAGCTCTTCATCCATCAACACAATCTGCAGAGCTTTGAAGAGAGAAGAGATGTGCAAGCTTTTCACCCAGAAATGTTTGCACTGCACAGCATTCGTTTTGTGTGTGTGTGTGTGTGTGTGTGTGTGTGTGGACATGTGGTCTGTGCGCCTGCAGAATCAGCTCCGTCAGTCAAGCAAAGCGAGCCGTTCAGTTGAGCGCCCAAAAACTAACCGACATCGCACAAAATCACCCGGGCTGTAAGCATTTTTCCTTACCAAAAGCTGATGCAATGTGGCGAGCCAGGGAGGACCGATAAGTCTGCTGCATCATTTAGAGAACCTCCGATAAAGCACCAATCCCGAGAATTAGGCTCAGCACTGCTGCATGGCAACAGGGAGATAGAGACTGTGTACTGAATTGTTACACATCCACAAGTCTCCACATCACCACAACAACCAACAACAACAACAACAACACCACAAGGGCATCCGTTTCAAAATAGGAAAACCATTCCCGTCTTTCACAGCAAGCGGTGATCACCACTTTTGTATTTGTTTCAAATGCAGACGTTTCACGTGCGCTGGTGTACAAGCATTTTGCAATGTGACAACACACACCAAGAGATGATGACATTAATCAGTGGTTAGAGATCCCTTCTTTACCTCTGAACGTAACAGGCTTGTGTGGGAAACAATGTCAATCAGTGTGTAGAAACCTCGACTGTGCTAGCATTCGTTTTATTTTATTAATCAAAAACAGACCCTCTCATCGGGGGATTCTGTGCATAAAACATTACTCAATTACATTCCTTATCAGTACAAATAAATACACAAAACTCTGTGTGATGTTCTTGCATGTGTTTCTTTGTTTTCACTTTACATAAAGCAAACAATGGCCACTTAAAGCACATTGTAATGCTTTGTAATAATTATACTGCTTCATAAAAAGTAAGTAATGTATAACACCACTGAGAATTATTATACAACATATCAGTGAGTGACCAGCAATGAGAAAGTAACACGATACATATACGATGCATTATTAATGCCATATCTCAAGAATAATATAAACAGGCCCATTATAAGACGTTGTTGTGCATTGCCACATCTGTATCATAGGACACGGCCGTCATGGAAAGTTTACCCGTGTGGACGGATAAAGTCAAAAAGGGAATGAAGGACTTCATGGACCAACCGGATGGATTCCTGACGTGCTCGTCCTCCAATGGTGCCAACGCCACAGAGCCTGTTGCATCGCTTCAGAGGGCTAAAGAGCCCCGCGTGGGGCCGTGTTGAACTTAACCTTGACACAGCTTTAGTGTTGCAGTGTCTATGTGTACGTGTGTGTGTGTGTAAACACAAGGTCTCATCCAGACAAATTTCACAGTGCCTGAGATCTCATTCTGTTCTCTTCCGCTTTGAAGGACTTTTCAGCAGAGTTACTCCTCACTTTTTACACATGCACACGCACAAACACACACCTACACTTAGAACACACTCTCGCTTCTCAGCCAGGGTTGCCATGGAGGGAGGTTTTCTTTGCTGCCATGACAACGTGAATTCTCTTTGGTCTCCCCTAACGACAGAAGAATAGAACAGACAGCGCCTGGGTGATAGAGATGTGTTTGGACTGCGAGCTCGGTGATTCACACGCGCCGCTGAAGTCACCTGTCCTGCTCTTTGCCAAGAAGAACAGCGCACCGCTACTGGAGGTAAAAGTATTATATCCCACTCGTGTGGGAGGGCTGCTGTCTTTCCCGGGTGAGATGATCACATCATTACCAAGTCTCCCTTTTTTTTGTGTGAGTTATTTGAAGGTCTATTCTCCAAACCAGGTAACGCAGAGTTCATTTTGGGAAATGTCAGTATTTGGAGTCCAACCAAACCTCTTACCTTAAGTCTCTCAGACACTCCGTCAGTGAAGCTGATGGTGAACTCCTCCACCTTGGGAACCTTCAGCCTCTTCTTCTCTGTCTGGTACTCAGTGCGGGTTTTCACCACCACCTGGAGGAGGGTTAAAGAGGTTAAATACGCGGAGTACTCTGAGGGCCATAGCTGTACATATGTGTTTTCATATTTGGAATACATGTCAGCAGACCTTGAAAAAACCTGAGGAAAACCTGGCAAATATGTTTTGTTGATCCCCAATGGAGGTACAGAGAGAGATTAAGACGATAAATACAACATTTTATATATTTATGTGCAATTTGCAAAGTCCAAATAAATCCAGTGCAGGAGAAAGTAGGGAGAGTAGACAATTCTGCTTTTATTGTGTGTGTGTGTGTGTGTGGGGGGGGAGATGGGGGGAGGGGGGGTGTCAGTACAATGATAGACTTTGGTTTCCGCTGTTGTTATGCAGTCTGATGGCAGTGGGCACAAATGTGAGCGGCGACCACGGCCCATGTATATTCTGGTCGCTGGTAATTGCCGTGCATTTGTCCTTCAGCCCACGAGTACGGCTCGTCGAGTGGAGTCATCGGCGTCGGAGAAGCGAGCGTGGGGATTTGGGCGAGCGGACCTTGGGACGATCCGCCGCCCAAATCCGCCCACCCAGCCACAGAATGCCCACGAAAGTAGATTAGACAGAAGGAGGAGAGCCAAGCTGTCAACTAAGCCCGACCAGCAGAGAACCTACGGCTGTTCCTATGCTCAATCTGCTGCTGGCTGATGGCCGATCGCAGCGAAAAAAAACAGGCTAACCCAGTAACGGTTGGTCTGTGCCTCCATCTCAGTGACAGGCCCTCTTCTCCCCAGCTGTACGGCGGCTATCTTACCGCGTTCTTCATTCAAATTGTTGAAATGATGCGGTTTTATTTGATAAACACTGGGGAACGTTAGAGGACTCCATTTTGGCTGAGATCGGTGCACAGCTCAAAGCCCAGTGGAGTAAGGATAGAATAGCAGAAGAACACATAACAAGTGTAGTATCGTTTTAATAATGTAAAAGTAGTAAATTATAGCTGTAATTTCATGGACTCAAAATGTCAGCTCCAGAACATAAACTATACACCCAATGGCCCCAACACAGCCAAAAACAACCCAACAGGAAACACCCGCTCCGGGTATCAGTTAAAGCGCTACGATATGTTAATGAAGTCCGGTGCCCAGAAACGAAGAGTGAGAAACATTGAGCTCCCCGCTGGCGGCTAGATGGGAAAAAAAAGGAGCCATGCAGGGAAGTGCAACCCTGCCCCAATAATGTCAGTATAACTCCGCCTCAAGCACGCCGGTTTAGAGGGATGAGAGGGACACGGGGAGGAGAGACGGGCTGGACCTCTGAAACTCTGAGGCGACATTTTCAACATTCACACGTGCGGTGTGTGGGAGGTAAGTGAACGGGATATCGCCATCAATTTAGAAAAGATTCCACGTGCAAGGTGTCAACCTCTAGACCCCCATTACGGGTGTTGTGTCTTATTTTAAGACAGTAATAGTTCAGCAAAATGACAGAAGAAGTCCTCTCGCGAATTTACAAAGGAGTCGTGAATCCTCGCGGTCAGGAGCAAAGGGGGCAGCCTGTCAATCATGTCTAAGATTACATTACATATACGTTTAACCGTCACATCATCATGACTTGTAAAAGTCCTAATTGTTAATCGTTAGAAACTTTAGTATCATATCGTTCTTTCTGTGGTTCACTTTGGTTAACAGAAGAATACCTTTTACCACCTTTAACCCAAACCCTGCACCTACTAAAAAGAGAAAGTGTTCGTCCTGTTTTGGCCGTTCACTGCATGTTATTGCGCACAAGACAATGAAGGCAGATGGAGAGAATGTAAACCAGGGAGAAGGAAGAGGAGAGGTTGAGGAAGAGGAAGAGAGCAATGTCTCGGCGTCCTTGCGCAGCTTCTAAACCGCTCTCCTTCGCTTTGAGACAAAAGCCAGAACCCGCTGTGCTCACAAACTGCCTCCGCCGTCTGAATAACAAAGCCGCCAGTCGGCTAAAGAAAGCCCTCATCTAGGAGTTGAGGGCCGCAGCAGGTGCACTAAATACGTTGCATTTGATTGAGACCCCCTGGGCCTCTGGACCTCTGTGGCATTCAGTGCAGTAACGGCAGAAACTTACGGAGCAATTGTGCCACAACTTTCTCTTTCTCGGACTCATTTCACAACAACATGCTCAGGGCCCCCAGGTACAAACACTGCAGCGCTTCATTACCCCTCCCACCCCCCCCACCTGTACCTCTCACTCCTTCATTTCACATTACCTAACGGCGTGGCCATCGATCAACATTGCCTCGTTTGCGCTCACAGCAGCAGATGGGAACCTAGCTGGGTTAGACGTGTTTAAATAGTGCTTGGCAAACTATTTTTTTTGTATCTTTATTTCAGACGTCAAGTTCTATTCATTCATAAACGATTACAAGTTGTTAAACAGAGCCTGATGGTAAAAAAACACACCAGATGAACAGTTGTGATTAAAAAATAAATGAATTACAACGTTCTCACTTATTAATCCACTGAGGTAGCGGCTCATTTTTTATTCATAATTCCCCCTGAGAATATATTGATGTGATCTGGAAGAAAAGGGTAAAACTAGTGTGTTATACCACCAAAGAATTACAACATCTGTTGCATGAATTAGGTGAAATGCTTACAAGTTACAATAATGCTCCCTCAGTCTTAAAGTTAAACAAATTATTGCCACGATACGCTGTTTCATTGTACTTGGACCACCAATGTAGAGAACAGCACCTAAACTGTAGTCAAACTGCAGGACATAAATCAGTGGGCGACATTGACTATGCAGTGAGAACGTATAATGCACCGTTACATCATTTAGGGATGCAGCTGCAAGCCATTGTTCCTCATTAATCCAAGATTTGAAACCTTTTTGTTTTTCAGCTATTCAACCCCAAAACCCTCCATGCGACTGTTAACAAGTACCTAAGCAAGCATCAGTTTGTTACCCCTCTTCTCTAAAATGTCATGTAAACCTTGGTCCATCCTACAATTTTGTGCCTCAACGTTAGCCGAAGACGGCTTTTCACTTACCTTGAAAATGTCAATAAAACTGAGAGACTTCTAATTAGTGGCGGGTAAGTAAGTCGAGCACATTTCCTTTGAGAATATATTTACAGATATCCAATTAGCCCTGTATATATTATGCAGACATGTATCTATTGAACGTGACCTTTTAAAATGGCAATGACTGACAGAGTCTCCCTTTCAGATCAGTTATAGACCTCCAATGTCTTTCTGCACATACAAGCTGTAAACGCAACATTCCCCGTATCATCTTTTAATGCATTATTTTTATTCACAAAATCCAGCAGAGCAAAATATTTATTACTTGGAGTCAAATATTCATATTATTTCCCTTTAGCAGAGTGAGATCTCTGAGCTTCTTTTGCTTACAGCAGCTGCCAGCTGTCAGAAAGTGACACTAATACCAAAACAACAGCTGAAATATACTAAAAGACAAATAGCACTGAGAACTACTGCAGAATTAGGAGGGTTAGTCCGTAAAAGCAACATTTTTCACATAAATACAATGATCTACTGTTAAAATTGTCACCAAAAATGTTTTTCCACAGGGTGCAGAAGTATCAAATAAATATGTCCTTCAAGTTATTTCCTAATACTTCTGCTTGCCACAGTCTGATGACGTCATCTTGCGTATTTACTGACATTTCATAAGGGTCTCTCTGACCTGCTCTGGTTGTTGTTCGTTTTGTTGTCTCTTTTTTTTCAAATCAGGATTCCAATCAAGATATTGGTGACCCGGCCGTGGCTGTGACGCATCCCCGCCCGGATGGAGTCAAATGTAATACCTCTCTAATGCCTCAGCCTCTGCAGGGCAGAGCAGCGTTGCTATGGGCCGGCGTGTGTGCCCCTGCACATTTTGTGGGTAACCCTGTAGTCGGGGGTGGGGGGTCACGCTGTCATCAGGCAGGACCAGGGTGGAAACAGCTGGGGTCGTTTTGGTATTTATAATACCAAACTCTCGCTCTAGACAACCAGACAGGTCACATGACCCAATAAATCTTGCCGTGGCTTTAAAGGACAGAGGCAATGAAACAGGCCACAGATTAGACTCTGATAAAAGCTGATTAACAATGAACTCTTTCTGGTCGGGGCGGGGGCGGGAAAAACAGCCTTAGATTCAGTGAGATTAAAGAGATTAGTTTCAGAAATAGAAATCACACAAAGGGGATGGCTTCCTACTAGACCGCCGTCAATATTACCGTAAACTGTGTGTTACAGCGTAAAAGCTGTGAGGCAACGTGAAGGGGGGTCACACGGAATGAAGAACACACAGAGACAATTATCACCTGCAGCTGCCTCGGTCTTTATGGTGGTTTCAGCTCCTGGTTAATTATCTGACCGACGCACCGCGGAATTGTTTTTGTTTTTGTCCGGCGCGTCTCAACTTTGAAAGGTTTCGGGCTCATTCACAGCTGAGATGTGGTGCGCCGTTGTTGTGAGCAAGCAAGAAGACACCGTGCACAAGCTGCTCAGCAGCTGACAGACACAGTTGGTGACATGTTTGTGAATATTTATCAGCTAAAGAGCCGTATATATCCCTCAAGTGTTGGTAGAGAGTGAAAACAGAATTGATATTCATCTCTATCCACTGGATGTGCAGATCAGAGCCCTTCCAACAAATAGTCAAGGCCGATATGAGGGCTGATAGCTTATCATATTGTCAGTGAAAATTGAAGCCATTGAAATTCAGAAATTATACCGGGTGACCGCCAGCAATTAATGAGCATCTGGTCTATTTTAAAACTGTGAAATGTGTCAGCATCAATCTACCCTTGATTGTTAAGGCCATACCACAAATTATTTGCCATTTCCACCACACATATGTTGATGCTGTGTAGACAACTCCCTTCCACATCCCCTAATTGACAAAATAAACACTTTGTAGCAGCACAGGCCACATACGGTATTGTCAAAGCGCAGAAGAGTGTGATCGTACACGTGCAGAATGCAGAACTCTCATTAAACGAGCTGTGATAGCCATCACCGACACGTCCCACGCTCTAATCTGTAATTACAGATTCCATTATTGTTCTCTGGCCTCTGTTGCGTTTAATGCATCAGTTGTCACGAAGACAAACTCCCACACAGTTCAACGGAAAAAGAAAAAACCAACCAGCGGACCCATCTGCATTGGCAATGTGATTTATTAAATCCACAAGTCCTGTTTTTTTCCATTAGCGAGTGGGCGGCGTGCAAACTCTGATGTCAGCGCGGTGTTTCCAGCAGCAAACAAGCGAACCCCCAAATCTTCGGGCCCCCCCACGTGTCCCTCGGGGCCTGTGGAAAAATTCACCGATCAACGGACCTCCTTCTCTGACCTCTTTTCCTTTCATACGTCAACAACAATTACTCGACGGCGTTGTCGCAGGAGCGGAAAAACCTGCAACCTGCTTTTTCCCCACCGTCGTGCTGCTTGATCAGTAAAACACACTTGACACGGCGATGTGTGTGTGTGTGTCTGTGTTGTGTGTGTGTGCGTCGCGGGACGACAGCAGCACGACAGCAGCACGCCGTGATGTTCTCAAGTCCGGTGGGGCCGATTGAATCAGCGTAAAATGTCTGACAGCTCTATGAACGTCATGTTACCAACTGACAGAAACGACTTGTCACACAAAGGCTCACATAGCCCGAGTGGCGCACACACACACACACACACACACACACACACACATGTGCCGTGTGTGTGCGATGAATGAGAAGTCAGTTAACAGGAGAGTGAACCGCCTGAGATGAGACTCCCTCAGCGGCCCCGGGGGGGGGGGGGGGGAGGATTCAGGCCGCACTGTGGTTCTGCGTCTGCAGCAGACAATATTTACTGGTCCCTTTTTTCTTTTTTTTTTGAGTTTCTGAGAATTCTCCACGGTAAAAAAAACACTTGATAAGATTAAAGCAAAATGAATAAATTGTAGTGCTTTGAAAGGCGAGGCAGCAGGTAACTCTGCAATAAAAGGCATCTGCCCACTAGGTTTGCTGTATTAGGCCCCAGGAATCCATTCAAATATAATATGCGGATTGTTTTTTTGTGTTTTTCTTGTAGAAACAAACATTTGTTGCAATGTGACCTGGTTAGCTTAGCCGGCCTGCCTCTATTCAACCAGCGCCACAAAGGCTTACAGTGATAAATGTAATGTTTGATGCTTCCGAACCAGGTCATGCTCAATGCTGACCGCTAACAGAGTACAACCAAAGATTAATGGTGAGCGTAAATACAACGTGGCAAAGAGGTTTGGATGTGGGTTGTATCACATATAAAGTTCCTTTTTAGAACTGAATTGATTGTCCTAACACTCCAAAGCCCCATTGGGGGGAATGTAATGGCTTCAGTTGTAAATCAATGACCCCTCTGATACGTATCAAGTGAGTCAACCAACTCGTATAATGATTATGTTACGAATTATGTCGTCGTGCAGCTCTACAACGAGTAGTGAATCAGGAGCTCAGGGTAGAATTGTGGATTCACACAGCAGCCGAAATGGAATCTTTACCAACTCTCGAACAAGTGAGACATTCTAAAGCTCCTATGTGGTCTAATTCGGTGGAAGGTACTGTTCAATCAGCGCAGTACTCCGTCACAGCCTTACAGAAACACCAAGGCAGGCCCTCTATAACGCGCTGCCTCCATGGTAACTGGATTAACGAGCCGCGGCGCAGTTACTATTGGATGTCAAGATGATAAACGACAGTGTGTCTGGCACCAAATCTGCTAATCTCGCTGCGAAACAAAGGACACAGCTGGGAGACAGCGGAGATGACTTCATTTGTAAATGAATGAAAGGGGTGTGAGCATGAGTGTGTATATAAATATGGGTGTGTGTGTGTAGGCTCTCACCTTGTCAGGTGCTTGGCTCTGGAGGCTGCCGACGTCCAGTGGAGTGATGAGGGGCACATTCTGAAAGCCGTCCTCCACGCTCACAGGTTTGCCCCCCTTGTCTTGAAGATTACTCCCCAGTTTCACCATCTTTCACTGCCCTTAAATGTCTCCCCTGTATTTCCCCGTAGACTGCTCCTAAATAGAGGAGGCGTTGAGAAGGATTGGTTTTTACCGGAGAGCCTTTAAGGTCAATGAAAACCCTGCAGACTTGAGCTATTTGACGGAGAATATTCTGGTGTGACAGAATGTTCAATTATTAGAATAAAGTACACAATAGCTTACACATGAATATGTGCAACCAAACAAGTATTTGTATTGTTTTGTTTAATCAAATGGAGCAAGCTCATTGTGTTTGAAATAAATATATATCTGTCGTGTTAACCCATGAATCAAAAGTGGAAGACAAACTCCAAAAGCATCGTCATTTCATCCCTTCCCGGATCACAAAAAAAAAATGTATATATGATGAACCCCCCCCCCCCCCCCCCCCCCGAAAAAGCAGTAAAAAAAAAGGCAGATACTTACAGCTGGTCTCCCTCGTCCGTGCGTCCCCTCTGTGCTGCGGCAGCGAGTGTCCCTCGTCGCGGAGGCGGGGGGAGGCGCACGCAGGAGCAGGTGAGGCTGGAAGCTGCGCTGCGGGTGTCGCGGATGCTGATGCTGCGGGAAAAAGCAACGTTGCACCGCCGGAGTCCAACTGGATGTCTGACGGCAGGTTTTCCCAGCAGCAGCAGCAGCAGCAGCAGACCGCCCAAACCCTCTACACCCCCTCCCCCTCCTGCCCCCCCTCCAAAAACACTGTCTCCTCCCCGGGGCGATGCTCGGTGCCGGCTGCAGGAGTCACCGCTAGAGGGGGCTGTTGTCTTGATGGGGGACCGGCGTGTTGATGCTGTATTAATGTTGCCTTTCGAGGCTTCGCGTAAAGCGGTTGCACCCGCGCCGTCATGGTGAAAGCATATCCAATGCATTTAGGAAGATTGGTATTTTCTATTTCTGCTCAAGTTTGATAACCGAATTGGCGAGTTTGAGTTGAGTTTTTTTTATTATGCCAACACACGTGTTAACTGTTCGCAAACAATTGAAATGTAATCTAAATCGAATAACTTTGCCTCCCAAAAATATATATTCGAAAATTCACGCATTTCCAGCGGTTCGTTTTGAAGGTCGAAATATTCCACATGGGGTAATATTTCCTAAGCAAAACTCCCCACTGTACACGAAAGCATCAAAAACCGTGTGCAGTCACGTTTCCTTTTATTATACAGCGCCATCCGGTGGTTAAATGAGTGACACGCAGCCCGATTTGAGAGACTTTCCGTAAAATCTACAATGAATAATGAATCCCACTAAAAGTGTGATAAATGGCTCTGAAGAGACGTATGCTGGGTCTGGGCCCCACATAGCGATATATGAAATAAGTTGTTTTACTGGAGTAACTAGTTTGTCAAAAGAAACCTTCTTTGAAGTGAAAACAAATTATCAGAGAATTGAAAAAGCCAAGTAAAAGATTAAAACGAATATTGCGTAAAAATAAGTGACATGGTGACATGTCGAAAAACTGAAAATGAATAACATTTTTAAAAAGGGGATAGTGCATATAGTGTAAGTCGAATATGTCTCAAGTCAAAGTAAAGGAAAAAGTCAGAACAACAAGTTGAAAATAATTGTACAGTATGTTGCACTGGGTAATACAATAGGTAGAGCATATTGCTTGAGAATATTGAGCAAAGTATGAGTATTGAGTATTAAGTATTGAGCAAAAAAGTTTGTTGTATAGTTGGTCGTTATCAAAAAAGAAAAATAAGTACGTTATATGCTGATATAGTCATATTTAAGTTGGCCATTGTTGTTTCAGGAGAGATCCGCTCTCTTTTTTTTAGGTTGCTAAACAGATATTTACACATCCACACATTCTTACATTAGAATCACAATCAGCATTCCTTTTTTTTTTTGCCTCTTTCACAATTTACTTACACAGAAATAGAAATGACCAGTGAGGGAAACAAAGCATTAATGATACACTCTTCTGTAGTGCCTCAAGGAGGAAAGAAGCCGTGACAGGTTGTGTGTGAAGCGCCTGCAGACACGTTTCCTGAGTCTGGAGGCTCGTATTACGTCTTGGATGGAGGGCGCGCACGGGGGACATTTTTTCGCAGTGTCCTTCGCTGTTCAGTGGATCATAACCACGCCAACTCATGTAGGATGTAAGCGAAGGAGAAAAGCAAAAGTCCTACCAAGACAGCATGATATCAACTACTTAATGCAGTTAAGGATTGTTAAAACGTCTCCTGTAGTAGAAAGAATACAGATGATGGAAGAACATGAAAAGCCCAACATGTGCTGGGTTTATTTGCTTTCTTGGAAAATGCTCAATCATCAGCAGTCCCGCGCACCACTTCCATGTACTATTTCTCCAAATGTGTCTTTGTGCTTTATTTTCATGTGTTCACAAAAAGAACTCGACACACAAGAAAAACACATTTTTTACCTTTGTTTAATTAAAATTCTTCTCCTCTCAACAGCGGCTTTGGTTTCATAATTTACTCTGATGCAGCAATCATGACAACATGTGTCGAATGTTTGTGGTTTTAGTAAAACCACAAACAAAAGCTACATTTAGGAAATATTCCCACTGAATTCTTCGCTAAGTGCATTACCTTTTTTTTCCCGCTTAAAGTCACTTAGGTGCACATGTCAAATTACAAAAATTACAGAAAAACTTCAGGTTTCTCATATTTTACATCAACAAATAAAGAGGGGGAGGACAGGGGAGATTCTTACAGGAGTTGTTCATCCATTGGAAAAAAACTGTACAGTGACACAAAATCAACAGGACTTTTTGAAAATCGGATGAGTCCAATTTAGAATTGAGCACAAAAGAATGTGGACTTAAATGGGAATGTAAAGGGTAAAAGTTCTCATGGCATTCCTACAGAAGGTTCATCTTACATGAAGTAGACAAAAGAAATACTAGTAACATATTTACTGTATTGAAACAAGACTTTGCTTTCGATGGAAGGTTCTAATTGAAAAATAGGAGATCAAAACAGGAGGGAAAAAAAATCAATTTACAAAAAACAGTTTAAAAACCAATAATTACAAATATGTTTAACAAACAAACAAACATTCCTTGCCTGTGTTGATTATTTCCTTAAATGAAAAACGAAATAAAAGCGCAGCGGACGTTGCAGATGTTTTGTACATTTAATACGAGCCACCGATGAGGTTTGGCTCCTGGCGCCATCGTTTCTGGGTTCACTGCCTACACGCGGTCCGCCGTGCGCACGGTGACACAGACGCGGGCCGCTTGCGCGCACGTGCGCGCGTGTGTGTGTTGCATACCGTCGAGGGTGATAAACAGAGTGACACGAGGAGGTTACCGAGTTCTGCGTCGCACACACGTGTTCGGCCTGCGCGTGGCCACAAAGCCGTGTTTGCAGAAGCACTTGTATGAGCCGGAGGTGTTCACGCAGCGAGCGTTCTTGCACGGATTGACACGAGCTCCTGGTTCCGTGCACTCATCAATGTCTGCGAAGAAAAAAAAAAAAAAACACATCAGCAATGGGTGAAGGCTGTTAAAAAGAGTGCATAATCTCGTAGCAATAACGAGTGCAAACCTATGCAGCGGGTGCGCGAGTGGTCCAGCCTGAAGCCTGCATTACATTCGCACATGGTCCCCAGATAGGAGCGGACGCAGCGGCCATTTGCACAGCTGCACTCATCCGAATCCTCCTCTGAACTGTCACCTGTTGTAGACACAAACAGGTCGGGGCGGAGGGCGCCATACGTGAGTGCGTCTGACATTCGACTGCTCAACGACAAAGGAAAAGGGTGTGGTTTTACCTGGGTTGTAGTTGGCGAAAGCTGCCAGAAAATCCTGCTCCCCATCCGACTCGCTCTCCCAATGCATCTGACACAGACGGCTGAACATCTCTGAACACAACAAGAACAATTTCTTATACAGATATGGATTTTTTTTTTTTAAGATGTAACCTTAAAATGAAGAGAGAGAAGTCGGCAGTGAAAGCCATCGTGCTCTTTGTTTTGGTCACCTGAGTTTCTAGCTGGACAGGTGTTACACTCGGGCCCCCAGCCGCGGCCGTAGTGACAGCAGCACTCCGAGTAGGTCACCGTCATGCCGTTCCGGGGCTCGCTGCAGATCAAGCCCTCGTCAACCCGCAGGAAACACACATCCTTGTGGGCTGCAGTGCGATCTGGGATTTAAAAAGAATTTTAAACAATAAAAACTAGTACTCGGGTCCCCGTTATGGTAAATAGGTTAAGTACAGGAAACCACATTCAGCCACTCTGAGCTCTCAAGTAAAAAAAAAAATGTGCAAGTCAGTAGAATCTTCTCATGATGGATGTTTGTCTCAATGATTCTAAACATGTATTATGGGAACGCATTGAACATGTTTCATTGAAAAATAGGCAATTTGCACCAAATGTACGTACATGTATTCTCTACACGTGCTCAGCACGGTGGTCAAGGGCCTCTCCACGCATTCATGAGACAAAGTGCAGAAATCAGTTTGCTGCGTAATACATCAAGTATCTGTATGTTGTACATTCGCCACTTTTTCATATAGCGATGTTATGCAGCATATATCTTATGTTATGAACAGAGAAAATACGAGCCTAACTAAACCTTGAATAAATTGATATCTGGCCGTCGCACATGAAAGCTAATACACTTTCATAGACTACATCATTGTAATCTGTGATGTTGAAGCGTTTGGTACTGTCAATCACATATTTCACATGTCAAATTATCAATAGTGAGCTCACACCCTTTTCCACTACATGAGCGGTTTCCCATGCTGAATCTAGCAGAATAACATTCTTATCATCTATAACAGCAAAGACAAGAAGAAAATGGACATGCAAAAAAATATGAACTAAATAAACAAACCATCAAAATGCTTTGACATTGTGTGCATTAATGTGTACATTCGAGATGTTTGAAGGCCGGAAAAGTGGAATCTCTCCAAAGAATGGGAACCGGTCTATGAAGCTGTTAAAGAGGGGAAACACCAAGCGAGTTGGGAGGAATTTCAAAGAGCAGATGACGAGATAAGCCAAAACCCGTTTAGTCCCGCCGAGGTGAGCCGATGCGGATTCTACCCACCGTCATAGACGCACTGTTTCAGCGCCGCGCTGAAGGTGAGGGGAGGGTCGCAGAAGCAGTGAAAGGAGCCGGGCGTGTTCTCACACCTCCCGTTCTTACAGTACGAGGGGTCCTGGCACTCATTCACATCTGGAAAGGGCACCACAGACACTGGTTACACTATGAACATCTGCCCGTTGGACAGCTATCAGCCTGTAAATAAACGCGTGCTGCATCATGAGGTACAATCGTCCCGCCATAAGTCAACAGCACATTTCTTACTTCTTCCAAAAGATCAAAAGGAACTACACAATCTCAACAAAAACATTTCAAGCTGTGCATTCATTGTATGGAGTATAGATAACAATTCACAGTGGGTGCGGTTATTGTGTCCAAACCCTGTATGTCCGCTTTGCTTTCGGTTTACCATTTTACCACAAATGTTGCATGTAATTCCTTACGACGAAACGAGCTTAACACTGCGTTTCGCCAATTCCACATCGACAAAAGGCTTCGGTTTAAAACATGAAGGGGGCGCAGAGCCCACCCGTTTCTCCTAACAGCGAGGATGCAAACACATTCCATTCCAAGTGTGAACGGAACAAATGTTCAGCACATATGAAGACATCAAAAACCACTGGCAACGCGACAATAAGCACGGCCAGCTGAGACGGGTCGTTTGTGGCAATCCTAATTCCTCCGTGAGGTTATTTGAAGCATTTTGTGCGGATCGGATGGTGCAGCTCAGGCTGGCTCTGCAATGCCTCTTAACGTCGTTGCCCTGCCTCTGCTGTGCTGCATGTAAAAACCTTCACGTTTGTCCCTCTGTGATGTCGGTGGTCCCCGCCCGGCCCACCCGCCCCGCCCCAAACCCTCCTCCACTTGCACACGGTCTGCACTCACCGGCCTGCTCCTCGGGAGTCACACAACTGTTGCGGTCGGTGGCCAGCGTCCAGGGCAGAGAGCAGATGCAGTAGTACGACCCGGGGGTGTCCACACAGTGGCCGTTCTTACAGTTGGCCGGGTCCTCGCATTCATTGTCATCTGGGGAACAGAGAGCTGCACTCTAAGCCTGAGCTCAATTCTCCAGTGACCAGGTGAATTTCGGAACGCGCTGACGAGGTCATCGGTAGACTTTTTCTTTTCTTTTTTTTTTACCCACCTGCTACTGTTGGGATCACGCACTTCTTCCTGTTGGAGTCCGGAGTCCACGGCGGGTTACAGTTGCAGTAGAAGGAGCCTTCGGTGTTGACGCAGCGGCCATTGGCGCAGAGAGACTCGTCGTGGCATTCGTTCACATCTGACGGACACCACGCAACGTGCATTTGTTATGAAGCATCTAGAAACGGGATCCAAGGGCATTCGGTGTGTTTCCACGCGCTCACCGATGCACTCGAAAAGATTGCCGTCGTAGTAGAAGCCCTGCTGGCAGTAGCACTCGTAGCCCGGCTGCGTGTTCTCACAGCGACCCTTCTTGCAGATTTCATCAGCAAACAAAGAACACTCGTCGATATCTGCAGACAAGGAAGGAAAATTCTTCTCACACACATAACTTTGACCGACAGCTTATTTGGACAAGTACAAAACTATCAAACTCTGGGGTTTATACTTATTTTAACACAGAATTTCCGGGTAAATGCAGGAATATCCTGGTACCATGGTAGACTGGCAGGCTGTACAGGAGTCCTTCGTCATAGTAGAGGCCTTGCCCGTTTGGACACAGGAAGTGGAACTCGGCTGGGTGGAGAGAACCAGGCGGGGTTTAATGGAGAGCCAGATGCACAGCAGATACAGAACAAGACGGATTCATGCAGAATTATCTCAATCACTTTTCAACATTAAACTAACCACAATCATTATTGCCTGGTAGATCCACTATGATTAGTTCTCAACACAGTTTAGCATAACAGAGAGTTGCTTGGTTACGCAAATGAATCACTATACCTTTGCCCACTGTAATGTAAGTGTACCTGACTGGGAGACAGGACAGGGATAGATCTCACAGTGATCTCCCCATCCCACTCCAATGGAGCAGCAGCACTCCTGCTTGGTGACGTTGGAGGCCAGCACGCTGTCGCAGAACACGGTGTCGTCCAGGTTCATGTAGCATTCCTTCTTCTCGTCCATCTGCACTCGAACTGCTGCAGGAGCGAACGTGGTGCACGTCAGGAAACTGGTGTGCATCCAGTGCCGGGACTGAAGCTCGACTGGGCTGGCCTAGCTGACCACTGTTTTCATTCGTTTAAACTTTTGCTTTCAGGTGATCAGAATGGTCGGTTATAATGATGATGGTTTACGCTCGGGGGATAAATGTGGGCATACACTAAAGCAGAAGGAATCAGAGCCGGCTTACCCTCACAGCTGTGTTTGTCCTCCGAGAGGACATAACCGTGATTGCAGGAACACACATACGAGCCTGGTCTGTTCTTACAAGAGCCGAAGGGCTGGCAGAGATTTCTGTCTGCGTCACATTCGTCAATGTCTGAAAGGAAAAATCCCACATTCCATCCGAATGGCAAACAATTTGATCATGCGCCATTTTTTCCCAATTGTTAATGTATATTTTTTCAGACATTTAAAAAAATAATAATTAATAAAGTGTCCAGAACACGTTAATTAATGAATTAATGAATTAAGGGACACAAAAAGGGGATGGTCCATAAGTTACAGATAAGGGTAGCAAGATACTTTGAATAACTGAAAGAGTTACGCTGCAAATTAGCTGACCGTCTCCTGCATACAGGTCTGTTAATAGTCGGGAGCAACATGGCAGACAGCGGTCGGTTTTCTTCTCAGAAGCTCTGATCATAAAGACTTAAAGGGACTGACCTACGCATCTCCTGCCTCCAACCAGCGTGTAGCCCGTCTGGCAGTCACAGCGGTATGAGCCCATGCTGTTGATGCAGCGGCCCCTCTGACAGTTGGAGGGCCTCTCGCACTCGTTGATATCTAGAGGTAAGGAAACAAAACGACACTCTTGGAATGCGAAGCGTGCGGTTAACGGAACGGGTCGTCCTCAGCGAAACTATACGCGGAGTATAGAGTCCAGTGGCGACTCGTTATCCGGGGAACAAGTGATACATTGCGAATTGCCGGTGAAGTCTGTTGGATAAGTCGTGCCTTCACAGTGGCTGCCTTCCTGCGTGCGCTGGTACCCCGGGTAGCACTGGCACTGGAAGGCGCCTTCTGTGTTGATGCAGTGGCCATAAGCGCACAGCCTGACGTCCTCACACTCGTCGACGTCTGTGCGGGAGAAGGAAACGCGTGCCAAACACAGCTTAGTGGTTAGCAATGTATTATTACACCATTCGGGAATCAGACGGCTCACTGGCACGTAAAAAAAAGGTCGGGCAGGAATTACTCACCGCTGCAACTTTTGCTGTCCGAAGACGGGAGGAAGCCCTCGTTGCACTCGCAGCGGTAACTACCAGGGAGGTTGTTACAGACCCCGTTAGGACAGACGTCCGGCTTCTGACATTCATCGATGTCTGGAGACATAAAAAGAAGGTCAATAAAATACAATGTAGTAATGTTTTTTTACTTTTTCTGAAATGAACCGCATATTAATGGCATGTTCTGAATGGTTTAACAAGGAATTAATATACAGTATTTGACAACATTGAAGTTATTTATCATATCTTCCATGATTTGGCCGATAGTGGTACTATTATATATTCCACATTGCAATACTCGTTATTTATGTCTGGTTTCTAAATGGAAACTGGTCTAAGTGGACTTGTTAAAATGCGATGTGTAATCCTTGTGTCATGACATCACACTTTAAGGCGGAGGGTTTTCAAAGAAGTTCCCCTCCGATAAACCACACTATTGGCTCAAGTCAGGCCCAACACTGATAAGCCGACTGAATCATCCTGCCTCCTACGAATGAGCTCATTTGGCTTCTTTGGGTGTCAGCAGCTGGGCGGAACTGGTCATTTGTCACTGTGATGCCGTTTTCACACGGATCAGTATTTTGCAGGAGGAGGGACAAACACCCTTCATTGGACAGTGTCTAAATGGTGACACGCTGCAGTACATCCGGGTTTCACTGACCGTAGCAGGTGTTGCTGCGGGCCTCGTGACCAGGCAAGCAAGGAACACACTCGTACGAGCCCGGCGTGTTCTCACATTGCTCATTGGGACACGTCTCGGGATTCAAACACTCATTTATGTCTGTAATAATTGAGAAGAGAAGTCACACAATGTCACCAACAGACTCGGCGCACAGACACAAAGATGTCAGAGTGACGCACACGTAATAAGTGTTTTGTGAGCGCTGGTCTCCATTCTGTCACCATAAACAGTGTCTTCGTACCTTCGCAGGCCAGGTGACGGTGTGACTTGCTCCTAAAGCCGCTGTGACATTCACATTTATAAGAGCCAGGCAGGTTCACGCACTGTCCTCCGGCACCGCAGATATCGGGCTTCGAGCACTCATCCACGTCTGCAAAAACAGGAAGAATTCAGCCAGTGCAGGATCTCAATGTAGCAAGCTATCCTTTTAACCTCACTTACCTAGGCACTTGACTCTGTCATACTGCACAGTGTGTTTATAGCCCGGACGACAGATGCATTTGTAACCTCCTTCTATGTTGACGCACTGGCCTCTGCCGTGGCCGCACGGATCAGAGTCACATTCATTATTATCTGAACAGGAGAGAAGAACAGCGATCAAAACAGTGTTGAGTATCACAGACTGCTGTGATTAGGGAACGTGTTTTGCACCAGCTGTCATAGCAGCATAGTCTCTTCCGTGAGTGTCAACATAAATGTAAAAGCACATTACTACTTATTCAATTTAGTGTGCTCACTCTTGATTCAAGATGGAGGTTTGTAATTATTTTGAATAAAACTCCATCCAGGCGTTCTTCACATGTGTGGAGATGGCTATTGCTGAGGTGGAAGCATAATAATTATTCATTATGTCTTTGGCTCAATATTGTAAGGATTTTTAGATACATGGATATTATTTTAACAATTACAATAAAAGTTGTCAAGGAAGCTAAATTCACCGTTTCAGCTAAATATATCTGAGCATGTCTTTTTAAGGCCTTTTTTTCTACTTTCATATTTAACTTAATAAAAACAAAAACTAAACTAAAATCTGTGTCTTTTCACAATCAATTCCATAAAATCCAAAGCAAGTCGTAGTCCGTAGTACAGGCCTTGCTCAGGACAGAACATTTCCCATGATGCAACACAATATCACATTTCATTAGCCCCCACCCTGACGAGTACATGTCCACATCTTTCAAGGTCCACACCTCCAGTTTGTGTGACAGGTTTTACTTCCAATTGATATTTTCTAAGCCTAGGTTGAAAGATTTCCTCAGAACCACAAGTAAGGATTAATTAACTGTTCTCTGACCTCCACAGTACAGATACAGAAGGTATGATGAGCACCGGGTCTCAGTATGCGATGGGGAATATTCCCCGTGCATAAGGAGCTTCAGGAGAAACGTCTTGTTGCGTCCTCGAGCCAGTGTCTCCACCGCTCGCTCTTACCCTCGCAGATGTTCCTCTGCGGGTTGAGGTGGTAGCCAGGGTGACAGTGACAGATGTAGCCGCTCAGGCTGTTCACACACTCTCCGTGACCGCAAATGTTCCTGCTCAGCCTGCATTCATCTGCCTTTGCTTCAAGAAGGAAACAAAAGCGTCACATATATGTAAGCAGCCTCGATATTGTTCACTGTTGATGGTATTACAGGATATTGACAAAGACATTTTTCCTAAACAATTATTAGTAATATGGATCTAATGATAATGTGGGAAAGGACAAACAATATAACTGCTTGAAAAGCCTAGTATGTGCAGAAAATCATATAACTTGCTGTAATGCAGACTTTAAAGCTAGAGTAACGAAATACACAATCTAAGAAATATTTACATTTGTATAATAATAATGACGTCATTTTGATATATTGCACCACACAAGATGTAGTTATGTCGGTGCCTGCTTCCAAGAAACACAGTGTGAACATTCATGCTTCACCGTTGGATGCAAACAACATGCAAAGGGTTCAAAAGTGTCAGTTTAACATTAAAAAAGCATGCATCTGACAAGATCTTAGACGCTGTGTGTGTATATATATATATATATATATATATATATATACACACCTATATATGTAAATGCATATCAACAAGGATTGCCTCAGGATGTAAATAACTTTTACATGCCGTTATAAATACATGTTATTACATTGAGAAAGTCAACATGTCATCTGTGAGTGACCACAATATCTCCTCCTACTGGGGAATGTGGAGAGCTGGGTTCTCCGGTGTTGAGGTGCATGAGACGTGAACCCGCTCATAAAAGAAAAGTAACCCTCTTTAAGGTTGAAGAAGAATAGATGTTTGAGTCGGTTTGCAGGAACTCACGCAAGACTTTAGTCTGTGTTTCGAGGGGGTCATTGCCTGGGGTCAATCTGATGATTGTTGGAGGGGTGGGTTTAACGACTGTGGATCCAACAGAAGAGAGATGAAGCGGACAGAACGTTTTGAGGAAATATGACATGTTGAACTTTAGTCCTGATGTTTAGCTCTTCACCACAAACGGGAAACATTTCTCTACAAGTAGCCGTTTCTGCAGAAACCTCCCTCTCGTCGAGAATACATTCGCTCCTGCTATTTCAACATGTTGCTTGTTATAGAGTTACTGAGTCGGATCCTGGCGTTGGAGTTGAGTTTACCTGGCACACGAGGACTGCTGGTGCTGGTGGGAGGCCGTGGCACGGCAGTCGGCGGCGCGTGGGGCCTCTCCTGGGGGAAAAGATTTCACACATCTGATTTCACATCTACAAAAAATGTAATTGATTGATCAATAAAAACAGAAACAACGTTTTCTTACTGGCCACTTTGGGTCTGAAAGGAAAAGAGATGGCAAGGTTTTACAACTGGGAACACACAAGTAGAAAAAATACACTTATTTAAGAACTCCTGAGTGGTGCGACTCTGTTCCAGGACTCACCCTCTTTGTCAGGCTTGCGGGGAAAGATGATGGGAGGGAAGGCCAGGGTCTCTCTTGTTTCATGGAGGAAGTATCCTTTCCCAGCGGGACAGATCTTACTGAAAGCCGCTGAGCACCAAATGGAGAGAGGAGACCATTTTATTGTTACTTCACTTTTTTTAGCGTCTCATTTTTCACTCACTTCATCATATTGTCCCAAGGGACATTTTTGTGATTAGCATATGTCTTGAGGTACGGGGTCGCAGTGACCATAACGCCTCTGGCCATATCTATCATACGCCAGGTAGGCAGGAAAATGTATGATGGCCAATTACTTCCACTGTTTTATTCTAATTTATGACAGTGTAGACAAACTGAATCTTGAGTGATAGAGACGTTTGTTATTCAGTGAAAATACAGAAAGCACAAGTAGTATAATAAGTTAATCTATCTGGGGAAAGTCACTAAATAAACGTATTGTCTATTTACATGCGGATGCACTGACAGACAACATGCCGCACATCATGAACACCCTGAGTTTGAAGAATATTTAATCTATTGATAACAACGAGGGCCTTCTCTGGGCCTGTAAGGGCTCCTCGCTGCCTCCACTCACCTGTGCCCACCTGAGGACATCGTTCACAGTTGCGGCCCCAGGCTTTGCCCACCGTGCAGCAGCACATGTCCTGGGTGAGGTATCTGGGCAGCGCATGCTCGCAGCCCCTGGACTCAGACGCCATCAGGAAGCAATGAGCGTGCTCAGCCGGAGACTCTGCAAAGAGTCATACAAAAGAAGAAAAACATGCAAAAACAACGTGATGGGGAGCGGTTACTCGGCAAAAGGCAGAGAAGGGAGGAAAACCAGCGGAGGCCTGTAACTCACCGACACACCGGTTCCTTTCCAGAACCATTCCCGCCTTGCAGGAGCATTTGAAGCTGCCCAGAGTGTTCAGACAGTCGCCGTTCTGACAGACGCCCTGCATGGAGCACTCGTTGATATCTTTAAGGTTCGAAAAGAAATGGCGTGTAAAATTGAAAAAAAGGTATCGTACTGTAAAAGATGATATCTGCTCAGTAGGTGATACATGGGAACTGTAGCTATAAAAAGTACAAGAGGAATGGAACAACTCCCAAACGGAGCTCTCTGCTTGTGGTACCTTGGCAGTGAGTGCTGTTGTATCTTTTGTAGCCTTGTGGACAGGTGGAGCCGTAGTCTTCCACGATGGTGTGCTTGACCGACGCATCTGAGGCAGCAGAAGACACAGCGAGGCACAGAGGGAACGGGGAGAAAAGTCTAAATCAAATAGTGGTTCTGGAATGAGAAGTCGCAGCTGCAGCTGGATGATACTGTACAAACCCGAAAATGAAACTGTAAAAGCTCGACCCAGTAACTGCACTTCAAAAATAGTTCTGGCTCTACCTGGTACTAAAAATAAGAGTGAAGGTTATTTTTTCAACGTGTGTATTTATATATAGGAGTCAAAAAAAACTCCTACATTATACCGAGCTTCATTAAACGCAGTCCCATTAAACGGGCAGTTGGTATTTTTGGCCATGAGGCTCAGTGTTTCCCCCCTGACATTATAACATTCATTTGCTGGAGAGTTAGGTGAGAGCATTGACATAGAAATGCGGTATCAATGTTCTCTTCTAACTCTGCGCCCAGAAGAAGCGCATTTCCCAACTACTCATTTAACATTTGGGCCCAGTTTTACCGAGGTTGTAATTTCTTCTCTCTTTCCCTTTCTTCGACACTTTTTTATGACGTCTTTGATGAGTTGCAGTTTATTGTCATGAAGTAGAAAAGTCTTTCATGAGGTATATAAAACTAGCAACTGGCGCTTCATAAAAAAATAAAATAAATAAAACACATTTTAAAAACGAGGAGATTATAAATGGATCTGAACGTAACAAAGCAGACAGAACTCCGGGCACCGATCCAGCGGTCGACAGACTAACCAGACGCGCCGTATCGGGTTTTGTCAAAGGCAGCATTGTCTGACGCAGAACTGAGACACGGAATAATAGCAGAGTGGAAAAACATCAGTAGCCAAGATTTTGTTGAAATTCAATCTCCAGCAATGTGATGACAGTCCTGCACTGGGCAGGCCCATAGGAACACGCTTAAGTAGAGGGTGATTTTCCACATTCTCTTTTTCTGCCTCACTGTCTGTGCGTAATTCCCGTAATTTCCTCCGTTTTCTCCTTCTCAGGCGTTCACACACACTGCCTACCTCACCTCACCACTAACAAACACCCAAACACATCTTTTTATAGAGGTATGAGGTATATTTTTATACGGGGCCATCATTTCATGAAAAGTGAGGGATATGCTTCAGATATTTTGGCTCAAAAAAACATTTATTCCCTGGGACACACACAAGATGTAGATTGAATAAAATTGAGAAAACGACTAGAGGATGACACATACAATGCTGGAATTGAGAGCAGCCCGAAAATGACGCAAGAAGCTTCAACTCACTTGGTAGTTTGGGGCACTGATAACACTTGTTTTGTCCCCATGAATTCCCCACACTGCCGCAGCAATCCTCCTGATTGGTCAGAACGGGAAGCGGCGTGCTGTTGCACTGAAGCGAGAGGTGCCAGAGAAACGTTATCAGTGCAAATGGCGGAGCAGCAGCTTTCAGGGTCTAAACTCACGGCTTGTTTGGGCGTGGTCTCCTGGAAGCAGCGCCCCTTGGGTTTGAGCCTGGAGGGTAGCAGGCGTGGCCCCATCTTGTATGGAGGCTTCACATCTGACTGGTCCATGGGTTGAATGACTACAGAGGTGTCCGGCGTGTGGTGAACACGTACGTTAAACTGTACTGAAGATAGACAGCAGAGGAAAAAAAAAACATCAGAGGAGACAAAAAACATCACAAATGCCTTTTTTTTTTAACCGCGTCAATCAAAAACGAAGGATGGATGCAACGGTTCTGGCGTCCATTGTAGGGAGTTACGAATACCTTCAGACGAGTGAGACATGGGTAGAGTGAGAATAGAGTGCGTTTGCGTCAGCTGAGTGCGCCCGATGCTCAACTGCTCCCCGAGTTTCTGGCCTTCCGGCTTCAAAGACAGCGGGTAGACGGGCTGCTTGTTGCCTCGCGCCGCCTGAGCTTGCTGCGTCTGGTGGAGCGGAAACTGGCAGAGGCGACCGGTGAAGCCCGGCGGGCACAGGCAGTGCTTCCTCGAGCTGCATACTCCTCCGTTCATGCACGTCAGGGGACACACAACTGCAAGGAGGGGGGGGACACACAGGGGGAGGGGAGGGGAGGGAAGTTTAAATTGCCAGACAGGTCAACAGTGATGAGTCACGGGATCAACGTAAGTAATAAAACAAAAAGGAGCCAAAAAGCAGCCTCATCAGACTGGGATTGCTCATTTTTGGATGCATTCACTTCCGGTTACAGACTGAAGCCGGTGATTTAGTGCTGAATCACACAAATAGACTGCAGCTGACGGACAGAGGAGCTTGTGGCGTGATCGGGGGGCCACGTGAAATGTACACCCAGAGCTGCACCACTGTAAACGGACTAACGGGCCCCTCCAGCCAGTCAGCGGCGGCGGGGGCGTCTGAGCAGGAAAGCAGGTAAAGTCATTGATCCGCTCAACAGCCTCAATCGGACATATGGGAAAGCTCTTGAAATCTATGGGAAAGCTCCTGGCCGGAGAGAGATTAACGGCCCGTGCAGCGTTCATTGCCGTTTTATTAGGCCTCCCTTCGTGTTCTCGTTGAGTCCAGTTGTTTTTTAAATTCAGAGCAATCTTAGGAAAGAGAGAAAGAGCAGGACTGTGGGGGAAACTGCAAGGAAATGATAACTCCAGAGAGAGATGTGAGAGAATGCTTCAGCAATGCTATTAGTAGTCCTACTATGACCACTGATGACGTAATGGCAGGGAAAGTGTAGTCAGGAAGGTCAGGTCGTCTCAGCAGTCCTCACGCATGCTCGGGCTGACTCTTAATATCACTATTAAAAATGCCTGACTTTGAATGCATGTTTAAGTACATAGGAGTGTATTTTTCTACAAAAAGCAAAAGACATCAAAGCAGACCAGAATTATAACCTTAAAACCGTCATTTTATCTTCAATAAATTGCAGATTGATTTTGAAACAGAGAGCTGAAACATACATTCTTAGCTGCCCCACTGCAAAAGTCACGTCATCAGTTAATCCGCGTCAATTTAGATAATAAATCAATGTAGATAACGAATCAAACAGTTGGAAGGCATGAGGAGACTTGTTGTCATGAAGAAATAGTCCTGCAAATAACCACTAAGTAGTTTCATCACAAATACCAAAGCTCTACTCTGACAAGAATCAAGTATTATTTTCCTTTCCATTTTAATTTAGCAACTAAAGACACAAATATCTTATGAACAGGTGTGAAATTAGCAAAGAATGTATAGCTTACTCCTTTTGTTTTTCCTCAATATAATGAATCACAGACTGACCTGGTCACATGACATATCATGACTGGATGAAAACTATTGACCTGAGGGGAGGAAAAAAGAAGATGGACAACGAGATGAGTCGAGAGGAAAGGAGACGAGATTGGGCATGAAGCGAGGAGACGAGAGGAGAAAAGAGGAGAGGTGACGAGATGAGACGAGAGGCCTCTTTCTGCTGCCGAGCCAAACGTGCACACATGGAAGTAATTATATGTGAACTGCCAGGGAGTCTGGGCTGTGGCATAATTGGGGGGACAAGATCACTTTCAACACAGCGGGGACATCCTCACATAGTGTAAGTCTGGCAGAAAAATGAAGGGGACCTCAATGAAACACCCCGACGAGGGTGGCAACAATTGAAATCTGAAGCAAGATGGGATACTTCAGAAGCAGCGTTCCACTACCTGACACCATGTGATAGACGCATTACACCGCTGTGACTGAGAGCAGGCAGCAACATGCAGAAGAGAACTGGAAGGCCTGAGGCATGGCAGAAAAACTCCAGCGCTCTGGTTTCTTCTCAGTTCTGGATGTAGAACGAGAGGATACTGGGAAAGATGCAGGGGTTGAAAATTAGGATCTGAATATTTTAAAAAATGGAGTCATAAGAAATTCTTAATTCTTCAAAATATGTTGCAAATTGTCGTGAAATTCTTGCTATAGTCATATGAGGGTGCACGGTGGTGATAAAAAAGCATAGTGGTGTAGTGGTTAGCACTGTGGCCTCTCATGCCGACGGTTCACGTTCGATTCCACCAAATGGAAGGCAGGACTCAAACGCAGACTTCAAAAACAAAAAGACTTTAAGAGTCAAAAATCCAAAAATCAAAGGCCAAGGGGGCAAAACAGAGGCGGGGATCAGGAACTCACAGGGTAATGTGTGTCAAACATGTCAAAAAACATCTAAGGTTCCGTGTTCGAAAACAAACATTTGAAGGAATTCATAAAATATTTTTCAAAAGAGTCGTGAAATTTGACTATGGTCATATGAGGGGGCACGATGGTGTGAAAAACGTACATTTGGAGAAAAAAAAACCTGAATATTTTCTCAAACTGAGTCATAAGAAACTCCTGGTTATACCAGCAGAGCAAATAAAGATCACCTGCCTTTCAATCAAACCAAAGTTCTCCACGTAAAACAATTTGATTTGATCATTCTGATCATTGGATTCTGTCTTGTGTCTGTTTGTCATCAGCGCTGCAGGAGGACCGTATCGTTTGTATAACGACACACGGTGGCTCTTCTCCTTCACCTCTGCTTACTTCATTTAAACTCCAGCTACGGAGGCGATGCACAGCTAACGTCCCCTGCAGACCCGACACGTGAACGGGCGTGCTCGCCTGCGCGCGTGGGACTTAATAAGCGGAGGCAGCCGTGTCTCCCGGAGAGCGGCTGCGGTCTCGGGGGGGTGGCTGCACCACATTGCACGCTGAAAACAGCACAACGCTACGAAAGCTGAGATCACAGTAAGGATTTTAATTTCCAACGGACTTTCCCTTTTAAATCGGCGCCTCGAAGTTCATTAGCAGGATTTATGATCCAGAAATCGCTCATCGGCTCTCTGCGTCGGTTAGCTGAGCGTCCCAGACGCTGTGAGCCGCGCCTTTGTCATCACGGCTCCAACACATTCCTCAGACAAGAGGTGGTGTGCTATTAAAAAAAGAAAAAAAATCAAATGCACATGAGCTTTATTTGTTCTGAATGCTTGTGAGGCAAGAACAGGCTGAATAATGGGGAGTTACGCCATCTTGAACCTTATTTTCCTCTGGTCGAAGAAAATGTAGGAAGTTAGGAGAAGTCCAGGAACCCGTTCAAAGATGACTCACCTCGTATGGAATTTAGATCAGCACAAAGTAGTTATCCAATAACTGAGGATAAAGCATTTAAATGAAGACACGCTGTACAGCCATTGAACGCATTTCACCATACGCGGAGAGAACATTCGATGTTGACTCTGCTCTTTGCGGCTCTCCGACATATTGAAATATCGAACGTTGGCCTGTAGGACGCTCATGAAGCGTATCGTTTTCCTTTGCGGCACTCAAACCGCAACTCTAGTGAAAAACAAGACAGAAGAAAGAGGGGAGTCTCGTTGGAGTGTTTCGTGCGACGTACCGGCGAGGGGTCCTCCTCCATCGCGTCATGACTCACTCCGTGAGGAGAAAGGCAGAGCTGCTCACAGCACGACATCACCGAGCGGAGACATCTTTGTCATTTACTGCGTTCCAGATATCTGGGAAAGCGATAAACATTCCTATTCCTTGACCCTACTTTTCCTTTAAAGAAAAACATACCATGCATTCCTCAACCGCTAAGTAAGCGAGCCTAGTAGACCAAGAAGCCATATCCCACCATGTATGTCCACGAAGACATATAAAGACAGACCGGGACACCACCATCATTTTAACCAAATAACGGGTAATAACTGGTAGAAGGGAGATTATACGGCACAGGTAGGTACTGTGTTTGTGAGTGAGAGGAAAGGTTGCCCTCTGGGTGCCCTGTGACCACCCACCCACTCACTCCTGTCTGTCTTTCTGTCTGTCTGGAGATGACGCATCTTCAGCCCACCTCCCTCCACGGCGTCCTTCCAGCCGCAGCCGCACCCTCCCAGCACAAAAACAACAAATTACAGCCCCGCAAACCACAGCCCCAAAGCTCCCCGGCTCACTGCAGTGAAAGCTACTGCAGACATCATCCCTCACAGATGTTCCAGAGGCCTGATCGGTCCGTTTCTTTGAACAGGCTCCTATTCTGGTGGAACGAAAATAGCCGTCGGCGAGAATCCGACACCGACGCTCTCTGAGTCACTTTCACGAAGATCCAAAAATTAGATTCAGAGGCTTTTATGTCAAAATGCGCTGATGCCCGGTTTTCACAGCTGGAGTTTTTCTTAGTGCTGTAATGTCTACGAAACACATCAAACTACATCTCACGTTGCAGTTCAAACTAAAAGTAAAATGCAGAAATAAATCAGTTTTTTTGTGTAATACTCCAAAACCAATTGAAATAATCAAAAATGGATCATCTTTTGATACTTTGCATTGAAAAGTTTCTCTTTGTATTGTTTGCCGGAAGCGGCTTCCTATGGTGTGACACCACGGCCTGTGAGAGCAGTGAGGCTTCAACCACTCTGTCAATTTCAAGCCTGGAAAAATGCAACAACGAGCAGCCGAACAGCCGCATACCAAAGACCAACGGGGACCGAAACAACAAATGTACCACAACACCCGAACACCAGAAGGGAGGAAAAACAGACAACGACCTGCTGAAGGGAAACCGTTAAGAAAGAGAGGAAAGACAGCCGGGAACGACGACAACGCTCTGTGAAGTGGACGAAAAAAGGATTCAGCAATATGAGCGAGCCTTTTACGTCACGCACTTTTGATGAAATGTCATTGTCAAAAGCATTTCCAGGAGTTGTCCTTGAAATAGTATATTGCTACCACCCAAAGGCCTCTTTAATGATCTGAGAGGGCCGTGACTCAACACAAAAAGGGGGTAAACACGATGGCCACTGTTTAAAAAAAAAAAACGGCTATCTTCAAATGACGTGCTTCCCTCTACCTACTAAAAAAGCAGGAAACCACATCCCCAAATACGCCCACCATCGGCTGGCACTGGGAGACCACATAGCACACGGGGCGGGACGGAGCAACGAGCGGCGGGGGTCAGACTCCTGCAGCCGAGCTGAGGCGTTGGGAGTAAATGACATAATCACAGCCTTCGGAAACAAACTTAAAACCTGCGTAAGCATTCCTCCTCCCCCCCCCGCCTGCACA